TTTGTGATTTTCCAAGCGGATTTTATAATATCTGTGAAAAACGGGTTAAAACGTAAGAAAAACGTGACATTTACGAAAATAATGCTTTTATTATTTTTCAATTTCCCTAAAATATGTATATATTTTATTTTAATCAACATTCAAAATTATTTGTATGAAATAAATTTACACATTATGAAAACTAATTACAATAGAAGTTGATTACCTATATATGTTTGCATTTAAAAATAAATATTATAAAGGATAAAATCAATCAGGATGTTGGTAACTTATTATAAATTATTATTATCTAACATATTTTAACGAACTCGATTATTCATATTATATTTTTGTGAAGATAGTAATATTTTTACAGTATAGTAAGACAAATTTGGCAATTTTTAAGCTATTTATAGACATTTAAATTAGCTTTTTTTTGTAGTTATTGGATTTATATGGATTTATGGTTTTATGTATATAAAATTGCTCGATCAAAAAAAAAAAAAAACCACAGCTTGAAAATTCAACGCTAAGTTAATAAAAGGTTGTACTTAGTGGTCAAACAAGTTGAGTGTAATTTAATCGGTTTTTTTTTTTTATATACGAGTTTTAAAATCAAATTTTGACGAAAATCGTAAGAATTTCAAAATATGTATAACCTGATTTCGCTCTGAATCGTAGTTTGTTAATAATAGTTTATCGTTGCATACAGGTATAAATCAAATATTGTTATGTATTCCACCTTCCCAACTTACCACCTACAAGAGCGGAGACGTATCAAGCATTATCAGTTCTCTTTTTTCTTTTAATCAATATTTCCCGCGAGGGTAGAAAAAGAATAATTCTGTGTTACACAAAAAAAGAATTAACTTTTTAAACGGCAACGCTGTAAAATATATTATAATTAAATGAACCATTTTCTGTTTTCCATTAACTTTCCTCCCCTTTTTTCTCGGTCCTTCTCATTTTGCTCTCCACAAAAAATCTTGGCGATTCCGTAAAATAGTTCCTTCGAAATGGAGGGAAGGGAATTAATGATAATTAATACGTATACTTCGAATGTAGGTTGGTTAAAACAATTTTGATTGTTTAAATTAATTTCTTTTTTTTTTATTATTTATTAAAATAAAAAAAAATCGACGATTATTTGCTACTAAATTTCAAAATATTATTTTGGATATTTGGTTTGCATCGTTGAAGAAAATCTGCAGGAGGGTGCTGTGCCAGGTGAATATAAAAACCTAAAGAAACAAGAAAGCTGAGTCAGTGCTCCTAAATATCACTCGTAATTCCTAGACCTGGAAAACAGTGACGTTGTTCTGGAGTGAGGAGGATTGATGTTTTGTTCGGTAAACGTCGTAATTCCAACCTTAAACAGTAGTTAAAGTATAAATTAAAAACCAATAAATTGATTTTTACAGACTTATACCTATTACAATTTTTCAAAAATGGCAACGTAAAATTTAATAAACTCACTATAATATTAAAGAACATAGTTTTAAATCTACATTTCAAAATATAAAAAATAGATTCATTACTCACTTAAGTGTATGATTAAAACTACTACTATATTAATACTACAATAAACATTTAATGTCAGGAAATGTGTATGTTTTAAATTATCGTAAACAAAAATATTTCTATAATTTAGAGAGTATAATTTTTGTTCAGAAATAAAAATAATATTCATTAGCAATAATTTTGTAAACGAGTATTGAATTTTCGAATGACAACCGACATCGTTTTAAACAGATTTTGATTACTCTTCTGGTATTCTTTGGCTTAAAATCTTTATATGACAAGAAGGCTCGAAAGTAATCTGATATTTTTGTCAAAATTAATTATTAATTATAATATAAATGTTCCAGTAGTATTATGTTATGTCAATTTCCTTGTCCCCCTTCGGAACTTCCGACGTTTCCCTTCCTTTTATATCCTCATACTTAAAAATAATCTTATGTATAAGCTAATAAAACTGCAAGTAAATCTTGCATCGTTTCTTATTCATGTTCTTATTGCCATTTTGAATTATATTTATTAAAATTTTATCATTGTTATTTTTAATATCTATTTTAATCAGCTAGATATTTTAGTTATAAAACATTGAATTGCATAGGTTGAACTTTAACCTATCTAATTTCCAGTAAATAAATAAAATATATGTATATTAATATTATGGTGGCCTAAATCTATATAGGTTTGAGGTCTTCTCGAGAAAATAAAATTTAGTACTCATCCTCCCTAATTTTTTAATATAATAAGAATAAATAATTTTATGAAAATGTGGAATCAACAACTTTTCATACCAAAAAAGAATATAATTTAAACCTAATGTGTTTTTTTTTCAATTAATTCAAAAATTAAAATATTGAAGAAAAAAATGTAAAATTCAATCATAAAAAAATTGCAGAATACAAATTCTATTCAAACCATCATTTAATAAGAAAAAAATATGAATCGTTTGAACGACAAGAAAAAGCTTTTTTTTTAAAAACTTTTATTCGAACAAATTAGGCTAAAACAAATTTAAAATTAAATTATACATAAAAAAAAGTATTAACTTAGTAAGTAACTAAAGTAAGTATAACTTGCATTAACTTGTATTAACTTACTTAAAAATCGATTCACAAAATGTACAAGTCCCTTGTTATGGCACAATTCAACTCATTTTCGGCACGAAAAGGGAGTGTTATCAAGTCAAAAATTTCACAAAATTATTTTTTTAGGTTAATAAGTAATAAAATGTTTATGTAAGTACGATTTTCAGACGACCGTAATATATTACATATACATATATTATATATAATATAATAGACAAAACGCTAATATTGGAGTTACACCACCCCTTCTTCCCGTCTATACGAGTTTAGGTAATTTAGATCGAAAGTGAACGTCTAGAAAAGGCAACCATACATTTTGTAACAGAAGTTTCTGTGAACGTTTTAACTGAATTTCAAAACAAATAAAAAATGATAATATTATAAGCATTATTTTCGTAAATTTCCCCGTTAATTCTACGTTCTTTTTAGGTTTTATTCGATTGTTAAAAAAATTATACGGGAAATTAAAAAACCATTTTCTTACTTACCAACTAGATTAAAAATTCAACAACGATGGTCTATTGTAGTTTTTTTATCAGAGGATTATTTCTGGTAGAAAGCATAACGCGTGCAAATTTAAAATTAAAATAATGCAATCAAAACACCATAAATTTGTCAGTTTTCATTTTACGTTTTTTTTCCTGGTTTTCCTTATTATTATGAAAATGTAAGGAAAATCATCTCTTTAATACATCAACTATATAAAATTTCTTTTTAGAAAATGTTTTACATTCTATGCTCTATACTTTGGGGCAAGATTTCATTTTGAAAAGTTGTTTAAAGTACACATACAAAAAAAACCTATAAAAATACAAAAGAAAAAAAAGATCCGATACCGGGGACGAGTGTGGCTAATGTTGTAGGTATTTGGGGAGGAAGGACACATAAAGTTATTTACCTATATACCAACGATAAATCATTGATAACGAAAAACAATTTCGAATGAATTTCGGTTAAACATATTTTTAAAGGCCGTAATATTTACGATTTCCGCCAAAATTTGATTTTAAAACTTATAAAAAAAAAAATAGTAATACATTAAACTAAATTACGCCTTATAATAAACATCCTATCAAATTTTCAAGCATTTCTAATAAGTCCAACAATTTATTTGCAAGAGTACCTACCAAATAAATTTACTTAAAAGCTCACAAAATAAAAAGGTCTATAAATATCTCAAAAATAACTAAAATATTTTGAAAAGTTTAACACATTTAGAAAAAGTAAGTATACATTTTCTGTCAAAATATAAAATCACTACGAATATTGTAACTTAAATTAAAACGAAAAAACCAACTTGAAAATAATAAAAACTATTATTTTCGCAATATTTTTCGTTATTTCTACTCTTTTTTCGGTATTGCTCAATTAATATAAAACTACAAATAAAGTCAAAAAAACTACTGTATTGGTCACCAAATAGATTAAATATTCAACAAAAATGATCTCTTGATATTTTTGTATTGAAGCAATGTTTCTGGTAGAAAACACAAGTTGAACACATTAAAATCAATAAACCGAGACGTTACGTTGACTTAAATAAGATTCAATTTAAATGTTTTGGTTGTTCCCAATTATTAGGAAAATTACTTTGAACATCGAAAAACCACTTACTACGTCAATGGTGAAATATTATAAGAAACAAAATCGATCGTTTATCATTTTTAAATTGGAGCACTATGCTTGATAGAAAACATTGTGTAAACATAAAAACATTGTAAACGGTACGGCCGTAGCGCGAAACGCAGCAAATATTTGCCATTTACCTGCAGTTTTCTTTCAGGTTTTTCCCGATTATTTCGAAAACCCCTAGGAAAATCAAAAAAAAACACCTTTCCAATGCTCTGCGAAAAAAAATTATCTTTCAGAAAAGATGCTACAGTCCATACTTCGGAGCAAGTTTTCTGGTAGAAAAGTTGTTCACTGACAGAAAAAAAAAACACACACACACATCATAGTCAAACCAATAGATCCCTCGCTATAGGTACGCTCCGCATCCTAAAAAAAAGTCGGCAGTGAAATATCGCGTTAAAATTTCGCAAGAAATAATAATAATAATAATTGTATTCCTGTACACTTGTCGACGGGCGCAACAGGAGAATGTTTTCCGGACGTCGTAACGGTTAGTTTCGCCGGGTGCCACGAAACACGGCCTTTTACGTTTCGTCTATATAATAATAATAATAATAAAATATAATATTATTATCGAACGTGCGCGTTCGGGAAAACGGGAGTCGCCTAATAATCGCCGACCCGCCCCCCTCAGGGCAAGTCCCGAATCACGGCGGTTACCTACGCGTAAGGGGCGACGACGACGACGACGACGGCGACGACGACGACGACGACGACGACGACGACGACGCGCGCCACCGACGGCTTCAGACTCCTGGCGGAGAGCGTCGTTCCTTCTTTACCCGGTCGCTGTCCTCGAAGCACCACGCACTCGTTCCGATTAAACGTAACCGTCTCGCGTCAACTGCGCGTCTCTCGCCGCTCGACAACATCCGCCGTTTCACGTCGCGACTATCATCCGACTTGTTCACAATTTACATTTTGAACGGGAAACATTTAAAAAAAAAAAAAAATAATAATAACAGTTTTCAAGAGTTTTCGCGGACCACGGTCTGCGACGGAGCGCTTACTATTTATTTGAGTATAAATATTAATCGGAGAAGAGCAACAAGCGGCGCCAACAAGCGAGTTTAAAGTAATAAAATATTAATAATTAAAAACGTAGTCTGTTTCACTATCTCCTATCTCTTTCTATCTGCTGTTCTATACACTGCCTACAAAAATGCAGCAGGTTCCGAACAACCCGCGTGTTTTTAAAAAATCATATGAATTTATACGAAACACAATACCGCATTGTTATCGAGTTTTGAAAATTTGCTTTTACTGCTTATTCAATCTACTTCCGTTTCGGATTTGGATATCGAGCCGCGTGATAGAATTGATGTCGATAATTCGGCAATGGCGCACGGATGAGGATATCTACCAACATGTGATGATATTGCCCGCACCGACACGCGGTTATTTCCGTATAGCGTTAAGCGTGACCGACGTGCCGGGCCGAAATTCGAGGCACATCTTCGTACAGCTGGCGGACGTGATCCGCAACCTCCCGCGCTCGATCATGGTGGAAGACCTCATCGCAGACCAGTTGGACCACGCGGCCTTTTACATGTACAACGCCAGGCGTCTGGGAGGACCAGAACTGGACATTCCCGAGTTAAAAACGCTGATGACGTTGTGGTGCGAACATTTCCCGGACGTGGAGCATCATATACGGGTGCGGTCCAGGAAGACGCAGACAACCGTCGAGGACATCGCCACCACCGATGAACAGGACCACGACTCTGTCGCCCGGTGGGCCAAGTCTGCTTCGATCATCCATTTACTGGCGCATCCGGTGATTCAAGAGGCGGTAGACAGGGGACTTTTGATGATCCAGCCGGCGAAGCCCAACGAAGAAGAGGTCGCGAGTACATCCGCGATGGCCAGAGGCCCAAAACAAAACCGCTGGCCGGCCGCCGGTCGGACTAGGCGCAATTTGGGGGACACGAACCAACAACCCTCGGAAACGGTAATGAGTGGTGCAGATGTGGAAACGATGAAGTCGTCCGGCGGCCGAGACAAACCACCTCGGGCCCTATCAATCAAGCGGTATCCCATTTTGACGGATGTCGGTCAGCCTGGTGACTCCTCGGGATCACCATCGTCGATCACCGTCATTGTGGATCCAGGAACCGATGATGAGTTGGAAGGCGATATACCGTTTGGCTTGGACGAGTTGCTCAAAGTGGCCAAGGCTATGTCCAGATTTCCGCCAAATCACACGGGTATCAATCAAGGGTAAGAGTGGTAGTGGTCACGGCCGCGGGGGACGTGGTGTCGTCAATTTCCCCGTTGGCCGTCCAGGCTGGGTGTTGTGGGGCTTCTTCTCCCTATACTTTTTGTCATTCCGATGCCGAAATTTTTATAGACGCATTACCGATTCATATACCTGCTTAAAAAATTCAGTTAAACATCCCGAAATGTCACGTTAAAAAAATCCCCATTCCCCTTCCTTTAATTGTCCGGGAATTTCCTGTTCTATCATTGCTCCACTTGACCGCCACTGATTTCGTGAGTGGTACCTTTAGTCACACTCGATTGTTGGCGTTTTTTTTCTCGGTATTTTAATCAAACTTTCCACATAAAAAAAATTCCAAATTAATTTTATTTCAAGTAATTCGTATTTTGTAATTCATGTGTATTTTAATATTTTAATCCTATATAGGTATTTGTTCTTTTTTTTTTAATGACACGTATTTATTTATTGTTATAGATTTTTTTTTTTTTTATTATCGTAGTTCTAGTATAGCGTTTAAAATTAAATAAATTATACATTAACAATTTTATATTAGATATAGAATGTTCGACATAGACGAATAGCTTTATAACGTATAGTTTGTATCAGCAGTGTTTGATTAGAGGAAAATAACGACGTGTAAAATAAAAATTAGTTTCCCTGTATGGTGGGAGAAGGGCAGTAAACTCTTCTCTTTTTCAGGGGAACAAATTTTTTACATTTTTCTTACAACTTTTTCAAACTTCGATTTTTAGTTTCTAAGTTGAGCGATAAACGTATTGGTTTTAAAATCATGTGTACTCGTTATTTTATTCAGGACATGCGGGAAAATGTACGGTTTCCGTTATTTTCGATTTTTCCGTAATTTAGTTAAACAATATCGTAGAAATCTGAAATTTTCACAGAATACTACAAATTAGACATTTATCGACGTTTTCAAAACAATTTTGGTGACTTTTGATTAATTATTTTAGTTATTTTAAATTTTGGAATTAATTTATAGTTATGTTGTAATAGTGGTGGTTCAAAGGGTATCCATGTACAGTACCTGCGGTGGCGGCGGCTATACGCCTGCGGGTGCGGTGGTGGTTCACAGGGGATAATTCGGGCGGCGCTGTAATATAAAACACGCATATAATGTTTAAACTTAAATGGTAATTGTAAATATCACTCATCATTTCAAACGTGTTTATCTGAACTTCGCTCAGAACCGTACTTTGTTTGCCATTTTAAAATAATTTATCGTCGAGTACATATATAAACTAAATAACTTTATAAATCCCGAATTTCTACCTACAGAAGCATACCCATCAGCGGTATCAATCCTTTTTTTCTATTTATTTATTTTAATCACAACCCGGTAAATACGGTTTTCATAATTTCCCCCGCGCGTTCCGTTTATTAATATAAATAAAACAAGTTTGTCGGTCTTGCAAATCGTTTGTTTAGCCAGCCATTGGAAAGGTTTAATTTTACGTACACTTGTATTGCGTTTTAAAATGAAAATTATTTCATTTTTTTTTTTTTTCCTTGAGGTTGTGCACAGATTCGAGATTTAATCTAATATAAAATATAAATTGAATAAAATATTTATTCGTTAGCCAATTTAATTTGATCGGTTAAAGTCCCTTTTAAAATAATCTCTTTCTGGAAAATGCTCAAAAAAAAAAGAAAAAGAAAAAAAATAGTAATAATAATATTTCTAAAATGTTAATATTAAATAAGTATCGAATTCCATATAATTTATAATAGTTCTTTTATTATATTATGATAAGACATGATATAATTACGTAGCCGTAGACATCGTTAGCTAGTCTTAGACCGTAGGTATTATATTTCAGACAATTTATTAATTGATTGTGTCCTTGTGCGTAACTTCTTAATGACTTCCCTCCCCATCATCGCCACCACCACACATCGAACGATTTGTTGTCGTCAAACATTCGACGGTATTTGTTAACGTCGTCGTCGTGTGTTTGTCTCAACGCGTGGGGCCGTGTCGTCAACCTCCCCGGGCCGCCCCCCTTTGTTATCAATTATAATATTCGATCGTGTACCTACTAAACAAAAAACACATAGCCGTCCGTGGGAGTTTGGTCGTCAACAAAGCTGCTTTGTTGTCTAAACGATCGGGCCGCCAATAATAGTTTGCCAACAAATCGTTTCGCGCGTGGCACCCTCGAGCCATTCGTTCGAACATTCTAGTATGAGCATTATTGGTTTTGTGGTGGTGGTAGTGATGTGTTTAAATATCGAAATTTATTATATTTTGGCTTTTTTTTCCGGGTTTTAGGCACTTTGTTCACGGTTTTCAATTCGAAATATCAAGTAGAAATTTAAAAAAAAATCAATTGTAAATCCGACTTCAATTCAGAAACTCAACAAAAGGTAAATACTAAATATATATACGGGGTGATGAATCGGTCGTAAGACATTCATTATCTCGGAAAGTGTTAATTTTTTTCGAGAATTGTTTTAAAGAACGTTTAAAAAGCAAGCTGTTCTTAAATTTAACATTTGTATTATTTTTTGTTACCTTAATTTTTGGAAGTGAAATGAATACCTGCTTCTGATTTTCAAATGGAAACCTATATTAAAAATTCCATAAATAGATTGTATAGTAGTAAAATACATTTTAGTGTTTAAATTTATAATTTCCATCAATCCGTTGACGAGATATTCCACTTTTAAGTTTTAATAGGGGGGGAGTAGTGGAGTATCATTTGTGTAGCGGTACAGCGCCCGGCGTTTTAAGAATTTACCACTGCTTTCCTGTTTAATAAACACCTTAAACATCCGTTTTAATAATCAATTAATAATCAAAATTATATATTAAACTCGCAACGGGCTTTTATCGATTTTTCATAATATTATGCGTAGATATTTTTTTTTTTAGTGCATAATCTCATATACGTTAACTCAATAACTTCCCATGTCCATGTTCTTCAGAATTTATGAAATTTATTCCATTCTTGGTCTTCCTCTTCTATTTTTAACATATCCTTCAATAATAAGTTTCAGCAAACTATTATGGTGCAATATATGCCTTATTATATTAACCCTTATTTTAGTTATAATTTTTCAAATTTGTCTTTTTTCTTTAATTTTCCTCAGAACTTCTTTATTTGTTACTCTGTCGCTCTATATAATCTTGAGTATTTTCTGGTAGCATCACATTTCAAAAGCTTCTATTTTTTTTTTTTTTCAGTTGCTTTTACTTACTAGATTACACTCCATTCGTATATTTTAAGACATTTTTTCTTATAAAACTAATTATGTATTCGTGTGCATAGTCGAAAATCGTGTGATATAATAATTGTTTTAGTAGTTGTGGTCGAACCCCGTTCAAAAGCGGTCCTGGACCTTGAGAAGTAATAATAATAAAGTCATGTCATCCTTGTAGTGGGAAATACCGTTTGAGGGGTTATTCATTTTGTTCGGTGCTATAAAAACCATTAACAAATAAAAATTATATCAAATTCGGTTAAACGGTGAAAATTGAAATGGACGGGGGAAGGTGTTCGATCACGATTGGTAGACAACTTTTTAATTATTAAAAATAGTGTTTTATATTTTATATTATATTACATTGAAATCTATAACTCGTAGTCGATTATTGTTATGCTAGTGGTTGTACATAACAATATGAAATTATTATTATTACTTTAAGAGTTGTTTTTGTGATTATAGACTAGTTTTTTTCTAATTTTACGTGTTTCTATTATCTGTATGTAGGAACGTTCTATCTGCGTACATCTATTTATAACGATTAATCATTTCATCCGTATTAAATTTTGGTATAAAAAGTATTATAATTAAAGTTCGGATTTGTATGTTTTAAAAATAAAAAGCTGATACATAATATGATGATAATATTGTTTTCAAAACAAATGCACAAGAAATACTTAAAAATTATTTTTATGACGGGAAAATAATAAATAATTCATAGTAATAATGATAAAAATAGAAAATAAAATTAAAAAAATAAAAATACATTGTAGTTTGACTGTACGCAAAACAAAATATTTAATAATTTGATAAACAAATACGTTGTTCTTATCAGTATAAAAAACGACTCTCAGGAGGTTTGCATGAGTCTGTAGTTTGTATTTTTCATCAAAATGATATAAAAAAAAAAAAATGAAAATTAATTCAAATAAATATTCACAAATACCTGTTTTAAAATTTAAACTATTTAAATATTTTAAGATCACCGTATCTTCATCAGGCTTATCTGATAAAAATAAGAGTGCGATGAAACCGAAATTGTATTCATACTTCATAGTTTCTATGTCACAACACAAAATAATACCTCAGAAAATTAAATTGCATGTTTACGTTACAAAAAAATTATAATTTAATGATAAGGAAATTGTCTACAGAATAGTAAGTGGTTAACTCTGCAAATTTTATAAAATAAAAGGAAGTTCAGGAGTTTATCGATATGATAACATTTGTCAATTTTACAGAATCTATAGCTAGTTTATGAGTTTTGTAGTTTCATGCAAGCCAGCATAAGAATGATATTTTTCAAGAACAAAATAATAATTTTTTAAAATAGGAGTGATAAAATATCATTGAAATTTTCAAGTAGTTTTTCTTTAAACTTTCATAAATCGAAAATCGTTCCAAAAATCACGGAATTAATGAAAGTAAAAAGTTGATGCTTCAAAATTGTCAGAAGAAAAACTCTATAAAATGGTTATTATCAAATTGTTCTTAAATAATAAAATACTTGTTTTTTTTTTTCATTTTTTTACGAAAACATAAACAATTAGTTAAAATATAAATATGTGTACCCTATCATCTCTGTGAGTAAAATAATAATAATAATAAAAATTCAGAATTTGATTATCTTTACTATTACCGGAAATATTATCATGGATATAATCTTCGTAGTAGACCCTGTGTATAATTATTTATACTGACAAAGACATTAATTTAATCAAACTTTAATTTAGTTCTTAAATCTTGATATAATGCTGGAAACAAAAATAATTATTTTTAATACTACCATATTTTTAAACGGTTTTTTCTCATGTAATGATGAATAATTATTGTTGAATTTTACTAATGTTTTTTAATATTTTTTACATAGAATGCTAACTGATTGTCAGCTAATATGTTTATTTACTGAGAAAAAGTTCTTTTGATGTCCACAGGGATGTTATTGACACATGCCACATATTAATAAAGTGTTAAATCATTTCCAGATTTTCAAATATTCTGGTAAAATGAATTAATATTTTTAATCTTACACCGAATCCATGGCAATTTTTTTTTTTTTAATTTATGAAAAATCAAAAAATTAATATTTAAACTTTAGAACATGTTTCCTACATTTATATCTTGGTTTACTATATGATAGAGGCCTAGAAATAACATACAAATCCTATAACTCCTAATATCTATTTATGATTGAACCAGAAAAAAATGTCTACTTAAAAATTACACGTACAATAATCAAAGTGACAGGTGGCATTTCAGTGTTTTTTTTCGAAATTCAACGTCCGGTCTATAATTAATACCAACACGTATTATGTTATTAACACTGAATACCTTATGTACTGGACAAATTCAATTGTAAACATGCGAACGGGACAAGTGTTAATTATGACGCACGTACATTATGAGATTGGATACCTGTGCAAGGTACAACTTCCTAAAACAGTTTCCATAATGTCTGTTCTCGTTATTAATAAGGGCTTCTTGGTCACTGTGTAAAAATATCTAATAGAATTTTCTCAAATATACTGTCTAGTGTTTATGTAACAGTATTACGATTATAAATTCGTACATGATTTTTTCGACTACAAACCACAATGGTAACCACAAAGATTTTATGCAAATTACATTTCAGTTTCTATTGTACAGTTAGTATTATTAAAATATTTTAAAAATTATATCCCTATTATATAATATAATATTGCGCTTAAGTACAAAGACACTACACGGATATTACGGGTTTTTGGAAAAAATTCGATATCCATTTAGCTCTTTAAACAGTTCATATTTTAGTTTTTCTGTAATATTAAAAATTTAAAATAATTTAACAAATTAACTGACAAAAGAACCGAAGGATTAGAAAAGGCTGTTGAGGCCGTAGAATACGCGTTATTAGTACGTAAGTTAGTACCACGAATTAAGATCACAGTATATCGAACGAACTAGAATAGTAATAGTGAAGCTCGAACCTTTTTATTTTTGGCAAGGCCACTAACACCATTTATCGAAATCTTTATGAACTGTTTCAATATTTATTATAGAATATTCTAATACCGTGATAGAATTTATTACACACTCTACTCCTCCAGACTAAACTTTAAACTGGTTTTAATTAATTTGTATATCAATTTTGTCTCAAAAGTGCTAACTGTCTTGCCAAACAGTGAGAATCGGGCGAACTCGGAAAAACACTGATAAGATCTTTCCGTTCGGTATCCTGTACATCTTATTGTGGTTAGTACGTTAGTTTTTATCAATAGAAATAATTGGATCCAAACAATTTAACAGTTCTATTAAAAACATAAATAATGTCCGTTTAATATTAGCTCATATTGTATTGAAGTTTAAGTAGGTACTTACAAACTAAGATTTGATCATTATAAAACCAGAAATAAAGGTTCAAGAATAAGAAATAACTCAAATAAGAGTTTTAGCAATATAATAAAATATATTTCAGTTATTAAAAAGTAAAACTTAAGACATTTTAAAGGAACTTTAAATCGCATTAGCATGTTCAAACTAATCACGCGTAATACCTATTATCAATCTGTCACGGTCGAATCCCATAAAAATGTTAAAAATAGTCAATAATAAATTCTGGTGTGACATTATTGTCTTTGAAACTGTTTTTTAAATCTATACCAATAGTATATTATAGTTGAATAAAATCTCGATCGACGATAAAACATTAACACACTGTCTATTTAATTGATTCGTAATCGAAAAGTTACCTTTTCAGACGAAACATCAAAGGAGAAAACGCCCAAAAGAAATTGCATTTATTATTTTTCATCTGTTTATTAATTTCATTAGTATCGAGATGGGAAATATCGAAATAAAATAATAAGGAATTGACACATTTCTGGTGATGAAACGCGGACGGATGCTTTTCGGTCGTAAGTTGAAAAATATTTACTTGAAGATAATGCAAAACTGCAATGTATTAAATTATGTATTAACTAATTCGACAAAATTCATTAAATTTAAAAATAATTATTGTATTTGTATATGTATTTTTTTTCAATTAAAATTCGGCTTGTAATTTCATGTTTTGGCCGTTAATTATTTATTAATTTAATAATCTGACAATACGATGTTTTGTCTTTTTTGTGTTTTATGATATTTATCTTCTACCTTATTAACAATATAAATGTTTTATTGTAATAGTCACGGTTATTTATTTGGTTACTTATATCCATAAGATCCATTCTCAATTTCCTTTTGGTAGAATAATTTTGTTCGTCCCTCACTGTACAAGAGAAATTCCGTACCTGTCAAAAACAAGAAACGGTCACTCCACATAAGTGCGAAGTGGTATTCAATCAAATATTGAAAATACTAAGTGATCATAAGACACTCATCTCGGTAAGTATTAACTTTTTTCGAAATTTTTTTAAAGAACATGTTAGAAACAAGCTGTTCTAAAATTTAACATTTACATTAATTTTTGTCACCCTAATTTTTGGAGTGAAACGACTACCTCCTTCTGATTTTCAAATGGCAACTTATATTAAAAATTCCTAATTCCTAATTAAAAATTTAAACACCAAAATTTATTTTAACTACTACTCCATATATTTATGGAATTTTTAAAATAGGTTGGCATTTTAAAATCAGAAGTAAGTAGTCGCTTTACTCCCAAAATTTAGAGTGACAATTGTCAATAAATAATGTAAATGTCAAATTTTAGAACAGTTTATTTCTTAAATGTTCTTTAAAACAAATTTCGAAAAAAGTTAATACTTTCCGAAATAATGATTGACGGGGTCTATAATTATTCCTACGGAAGACAAAAGCTCTGTTCTTACTTAGAGATTGTGAATTTCCAAAAAAAATTGAAATCGGGAAAAATAGGAAACATTGAGGGAAAACAACTTTTTATAGCAACATATTATATTATCGTAATGTTAACTGTAAACAACAACCTACTTATTTGCCTTTTTTAAATTTTAAATAATAATAATAATAATACACTATCCTATCCTCTGACTAAAGTAACGATCAATCAAACTCAACTGTATTAATATTATTAACCATTATGCTTTCAATTATTACTATCATCATGGAGGTTTTTAATACACCTCGACAGGCGTCTAAAACACGCCAAACACACCTGGTTACTGTATTTTATAAACAAGTTGTTTTGGCGATTTTGGTTGTAGGTTACTGAAATATCATAACTAAACGAAATGAACGGTTACGATACCTGGTTATTGACAAAGTATTAATTAGATATTTAGTAATATCAATTAATTTTATTTGTTATAACCATAAAGATGTCGTTTTAGAGAATCTATAGCCATTAATTAAAATCATATAACCATTAATGAATATAACCTGGTTAATCGACAAAACACACCTCATATTTCTTATATTTATGTTTTATTTTTTATTATTATTCTCTTTGGACTTTTTGGACCTTACTGAAGCCATAGTATATAATCATTTTTTTTTTAGTATGGTTCCAACTTTTCCGTTTTTTTGAACACCATTCTTTCCTAATAAATGTTTAGTTTTCTAAGCATTCTAAAACTGTATTAAAAATACAATGTAAAATTGTGAATTAACGATTGGTTAGAAGCGAGGAACTTAAAATAGTATCTTATTTATTGATTTTGGTTAAGCAATAAAGGGAGGAAAAAATTGTATTACCCATTATTGCCTATAGCAGTGGTTTTCAAACTTTTATTATACACGGCACACTGTAGACTTCAAACAATTTTCATGGCACACTGACCTTTTTTTTAGATGTACAAAATTGTTTTGAATTAATTATAATTGCAAATACATTTAATTAGAAATGTGTGATTAATGGACTAACAAATATTTATTAATTATAATTACACTGTATTAGTAATTAATTAGTTATTAAATTTATTTACAAAAAAAAGCGTAGTTTATACATGGGTACATTTAATGAGAAATGTGTGCCTGATGGGCGTTACAAATATTTTTAATTTTCGGACGAATTGTTGACAGATAATTATATACCCGCATTTCTTCCACCACTGAATTTAGTTTTTCTCGTTTTTTATTTTTTATATTCGCAAGCGCTGANTGGCAAAATAATAGTCAGTGCTTTAATAGATATCTCTGAATATTCTTCAGAAACATATATCCAGAATTTATTGAGAGTGATCTCTTTGAATTTCAACTGCAATATTCAATCATTTTTAATTGAACAAAAATTTTCTTCTTCAACAAGTTTTAAATCAACCAAGTCACTAATAGACACATTAAAAGGGTCTCGTACCCAGTTGTAATTTTTAATATTATTACTTGGAAAATATTTATTCATTTTTACTTCCAACAATGCGATAGACTCGACTATTAATGCCAAAATTTTGTCATCTACAACTAGCAAATCAGTACGAGAAAACATAATTAGATTAAATTGATTAACTATAGTTTTCCGAAAATTCAATTTTTCGATAAAAGCCATAATTTTGTCTGACGATGTTAGTATATTTTCCTCACGACCTTGCATACTTGAATTTAGTTTATTGAGATGCACAAACAAATCAGTTAAGAAGGATAATTTTGTCCACCACTCTTCATCCCCAAGAAAGTTGAATTCAGATTCTTCCATAGTTAAAATTACAAGTAACTGCTCTCTCAAATTGTAAAATCGTGATAAAATATTTCTCCTTGAAAGCCATCTTACTGCACTGTATAAAATCAATCTTGAATAATCTTCATCCATCTCTTCACATATTTTTTCGAACAGTCTTGATTCAAGAGGTCGGCTCTTAATAAAATTTATGACTTTTACAACTTGATACATAAATATATAGCATATGTATAACGATAAAGATTGAACGTATTTATTTTCTTATATCACAATTTATGGAAAAACCACGGCACCCAGTTTGAAAACCACTGGCCTATAGGATACTATAGTTTTTTGTTTGTCCTGTTAAAGAACTTAAGACTAGGATTTTTAGCACTACAGGATCAGTTCCTGACGAAAATCATGGTCGTTGGAGAAGATTACAAAACGCGTTCGGCAGGTAGGTACCTAAATTTTAACTACCGTTAATTAATTTTAATTAACATTTTTGGACTATTTTAACGATTTTTAATATAATACAATTACTTACATTTTTACACGGCAAATAGAGTTTAATATTTCCATAAAATAATATATTTCCAAAATAAAGGTACAGTTATATCTATTTTCTAGTATTATTTGAAATTCCGTGTATGTTATGCGTCCAATGTATAAAATATTCACGATGTAACAATGTAAATATCATGTAAATCCTCACGAGACCGCCACATAAAACACCAATTGTTCTTATGAAGTTATAACAAGTAATAAGTAATACAAATGATTAACACGGAGCTTATGGAGCTCGTGCGATGTTATCAAGGCGAAATATGTTGGGACAAATATGTAACGTTGTAGATACGTTTTCACTATACCTATAATATAATATTAGTAGGATAGGACGATTAAACCTAGATATTTTGGAAAAAAATGTCTAGTAATTTATATAATTTTATTATCCAATAGTACTAAATATACTAAATACTATTAATTTGATCTGCAGTCATACGGAGAAGTAAGTACCTATAGTACCAAACAAATAATATAGGCCTTATTTATTCTGAACTATAGTCGCTGTTCAAATAATTTATATGATACAAAAAATTATACATTTTCTAACCTCAAGTTATCTAATTACAAAACATTTATTCGGCGAGTACTCGAAAAAAAAAAAATATCAACTACCTGACTATTCGCCTGGGCCAAATTCGAGTTTCGTCCCGAGTATAATTTAATTTAAAGATAAAGTTTTTTAAAAGTTTATATCAATGTATATTTCAATATATTTAAATACCTATCACTAGTTCCGTCCCTTTTATATTTTAAATTATTTATATGATGTAATGTTAGTATTTTGAGAGTCAATTATTAACTTTATTTATATTAGTGTACTATATAAGTGTTCATTGTATAATGTATATTTTCTTTAGTTCAATAACATCGGGTTATTGAATATATAAATAAAAGTTACGAATGGATCTCAAATACGTTTAAACTTGTACAAACAAAATGCATTTTCAGTTGAAATTTGAAGATTTAAACAATTGATACTACGGCTCAATCAAAAAGGTAAGACCTTAAATTTTACCTATTATTATTATTAATATGCTGTGATTATTAAATTCGAAATCATGGACAAATAGTTAACATTCCAATGCATTTAAATCTTTTTAGCATAATATACCTATGCTATTGATGCAACATATGTTTTGCATAACGATTTCCTGTGATCGATTTTCCCGTTACAGCAACATCCCACAGCTACTACGTACCTAATACGCTCTAGCCATCGCCAACTAATTTTAGTTTTTTAATTACCACACTTCTGAATGAATAGCAATTGTTAACACTTTTCTTTTTCCGGAAAATCCGATTTTTAACATACATTATGTTTAACGTCATTGGGAAAATATTTGAGCGAAGAAACTCAAAACTTGTTATCGATTTTTGACTAACTTACCGTGATCTTGGACCAACTTGAAGGATTGTATGTGTTCATATTTTCTATGATCATACAAAAATCAATAATAAGATTCTTCGTTTTTAACATCACTTGGGAGAAGAAAAATGGTTTTCACTCAATATGGCTATTGCAAAAAATGTTTAAACTGTCGAATAATTTCTCACACATTTACGTACATTTTTTCTCTATTATAAATAATCTGTTGTCAGGTTTTCCATTTTCCCTTTTATAAATTGTCACCTCAAATGGATAGCTTTCGGGAAACAATGTTAAAATATCGAAAAGCGCCGTCTGCTACTGGACAACGGAATTCTTAATTGTTATCTACGAAACTTACAGCGATAATAGCTAGGACGATTTTTGATCTATCGTCGAAGGCTTCAAGTCGATCGCATTATTTTTGGATTTTAAATTAATTTTTAAACTTAAAATTTGCGAGAAACGGCGGGTGATTCCTGTAACGGCCGATCTCCAGTCGTCTGTTCCTGAACCACTGAAACCACTTTCAAAGCTCTAAGACCAAAATCCGATTTTCTACGATTTTTTTCCACTATAATCATGGAAATAAATATTTATTGCCTATTAAATTATAATTATTTTTGTACATTTCTCCGTTTTTCTTAAGTTTTTTCCTAGATTTTCCCAGATATTATGAAAACTGTTTGAAAAATAAAAAATTAGGTCCGTAAAGTATCATCTAAACAAAATTTCTTTTCAGAAAAGGTGCTACATTTGTATATCAAAGCAAGATTTCTGGTCGACATTTTTGTCATAGTATATAAGAAAAAAATAAACATTATTGTAAAACCCTTCGCTAAACCTAGAATCTAAAATAGAATACGATTCAGTTGCTGATATTTGTATTTTTATATTTCTAAAATAAAATTTGGTTTTTGTTTATACTTACTAAATTGGCATTAATCAAGCTATACAATCGCAACTATAATATTTACAGGACCTTGGTTCATCATTCCCTAATGAATGTATTTATTTTCGTGGTCATTTATCTGGATTAAAAAACAATAATTTGCCAGTAACTATTTTAATTTAATTTAATTATTTACAATTAAAACTCTCCCACCGAAGTACTAACATTGGATGGCCTCTTCAATTCATGTATTTCAGTATTAGTTAATATCACTTATGCTTATTGTACCATACGTACAGATTGTATAATTACCTTATTAAAAATAAAAAAAAATAAAAGTGCGCGCGTATTTCGTATACTTTGGAGAGAAGCGTATATGGTACATTTGGCTTTAGCGTTGGTCTTTATTCTGCTATTTTCTGTAAAAACAAAATGTTCGTATTTGTTTTGTTGATAACACTGGTATTAACTGATAGAATATCTTTAGAGATTATTAATGTATAATGTCGATTCTGTTTTAGTGCCATATTAATTTTAGGTAAACATTTAGTACAAGATACGTTGTATAAATAACCAATAGTCAACACATGGCCACCGTAGATAAACAAATAATAATAAAAACAATCTCTGAAAGGTAACCAAATCGAATACATACGAGAAAGTACACTAAGTAAGTCAAGTATGCAACAATATGAGAATTTTGCAAAGTAAGAAATTTAGTGGAATAGTATTATGCCAAGAAAGAAAGCCAGGTATGTGCGTAATTGGCGTAGTTTCATTAGCAAAATAGAACCTCAGTTCCCAACGATTAGCTAATGATGGAATGCCAGCTTTCGAAAGGATGCTTTGAATGGGACTGGAGCGAAAGGTGCCAAGGGAGGGTTGCAACCTTGTGTTATAGATTGCATCCAGTATTTTTAGATTAATTGGTTTTGCTGTTGAGAAATAAAAAGCACTGTAGTCAAGTTTGGAGAGGATAAAAGCTCTTGTGTATTTTCATGATAGCGTGAGCAAGTTTTTTAATAATTTTAAGTCTGGAGGAGGTCCAGTTTTTTAAGTTTGAGACGTTTGGAATCCATCTGGCTTTATCGTCGAAAGTAACTCCTAGAATTTTGACAATGATTAGGTTTTTGATTGTCAGGAAGAAGCTGCGGAGAGTAGGTTTTATCAATGGTCACTCATATAGAGAACGGTTTTCAGAATAAAATAAAATCAGGGGCGGTTTTCCTAGATCTAACTTGTGTCTACGACACTGTCTGGAAATGTGGCCTACTCTTGAAATTAGCGAAAATCTTTAAGTGTAAAACATCCATACGACTTATTGATAACATGCTGATAGAACGGAAATTCAAAGTACACATAAATGGGAAAGAGAGTAAATACAAGTTTCTTTAAAACGGACTCCCTCAAGGGTCCGTCCTCTCCCCAGTTTTGTTTAACGTCTACATATCCGATTTTGCAAACACATCACGTAAATTTAAGTATGCAGACGACGTAGGATTAGTAGCTCAAGCTGATTCTAAATCACCCCCAACAATCCTCCGCATAAGGAACAATTCGATTTAGTAGTATTCTAAAGAAGACTTTGAACGCAGAGTTCAAAAGCGATATCCCTCTGTAATTGTCACATTTTGTCTTGTCTCCCTTTTTGTGTAGTGGTAATATGATGATAAACTCATTCCAGCTATCCGGTACCCGTTCAGCCCATGTTAGCTGACACAGTTTGTGCAATACTATGTGCAGCTCCATATTTTATGATTTCTGCTGAGATTTCAAAATTAAATTTAATTAATTTAAATTTTAATTTTAAACCAAGGGAAGTTTTAAGTCAGGTTGTTTGTTAAAAGTGCATATAGTAGAAAAAAATATTCAAATTAGAAATATTAGAAGTTTATGTTATAGGATGGTTTGGCCTGTAGGTTTTGTGCAATTAAATGATGACAAAAAGACAGCCTGGATTTAAATGAGTCCTTATGCGTACACTGCAACATGTCCCGTTAGAAGTAATGGGTGAAGAACACAAAAGTCCGGAAATGTAATTTTCAATATCCAAGGAAGTGGAAGATCAAGTATTAAATTGAATGTTCAAATAAGTCTGTTATCCGTGAAAGGAAAAAGAAAATAATTAAATTCAAGAAGGCCGAGCAGTAAAATATTATTAAAATCAAAATGTTGATATTCTTATAACAATCAAATTAACTCCAATTGCAACTAAATTTTATTGAATTATAGTATTTGTATTACTGATGGATACTCCTGAATAATTTATCCTTACAATAGTTTTAATGAATTATTAAATATTCGATTTAAATATTTTTCACTGCGCTACTTTGCATCATTGAAAGACTGTAGTAAATTTTCAAGGATCGGGGGTTTTCAGCTCGTGCCTCATCAAGGCGAATGAACTTAGATAATGTCTGGGTGTTATTAAGTTTTTCACGGAGCGTGCACAATGCGGCCTTTTCACCTTCAGTAAACTAGGGTACGAGAGAAGACGATGTTTCAGGGAGACCATACAGTAGGACATTAAGAAATGCACTATTCTTGCTCAGAATAATATGTCCGTATGACTTGTGAGACAATAGTTGATGTGTTTCAGGTGCTTGATTTGACACAATGCTTGCAATCTCACCTCTAAGAATATTAACTTCGATACGCAATACGGTATTTTCTTTTTTTAGATCAGCTACAAGTTTATAAAGACGCTTTAGGTCATTAAATTCCCAGCTAGTGCCGCAGAATGAGTTTTACAAGAAGAAAAGTATTCCTCCCGAAATGATACCAGAATAGACATTAGATCGTTTATATAAGTATCCCAATTGTGAGCCTTTTATTGGCTCATATCAGAAACGTAACTATCGATAATGATTTCCACAAAACAAAGACCACAGTGGCCTGTCAACAAATTACGCACGGCCCTTACACCAGTCGCACAGTGGGTCAGATTTAAATAAAAATGGACAAAAACGAAAAAAAGCTAACAAGGTAAGGAATATTTTATGGTATTAAAAAAAGAAATAAGTTACATATTTGTTTTGATAACAAAATTATAAATTTTAAATAACTATTTAGATGTTTCATATTTATTATTTTTATAAAAATCATAAATACTTATTATTAGCATTGATTAGTAGGATAATAATAAGATGTAATTATCTACATAATATTTTCAGAAATTATATTTTTTTTTTAAATATGTAATTTTTAAATGCACATAATTGCACGATTTTTTTAATTCGAAAATTTTTTGAAATTTTAGAATGCCACCTATTCTTATTTCCCGGCAAGAATTATATTTATTAATTAAAAGATTATCAAAAAGTGACGATGATCGTCCAAACATTATTTTTCAATGTATAAAATCAAAGATCAATATGTGAAAATACACTTTTTGAAACAGAAAATGATCTCAAAATAAAAATAAATTTTTTCTTGTACGAATTTGATAAACTTTGGAAAATATGTCACAGAATACGTGACCATTTCGAGGTAAAAAACAACGATTAGCTTCAAACAATTTTTCAACTTTCGTATATTCCCTCAACAAATACTTCTTCTGGTAGACTTCAAGTACAATTTTTAGAAGCTAGTGAAAAGACTAAGCGTCGACGAACGGAGTCATTAAGAAAAGCTAATCCTGTTGATGAACTTGTTTATGCCGCACAAGTTGGTCTTAACGATTACGGTAAAAACAACGAAAGTAAGCTCTTACACGCCGGTTACGGCGATAATATTTTCGTATCTTTCGGTACGTTCGTCACTGGATATTTTTCCGGCGTAAGCAAAAGCTTATATTGCCTGTGGGCCGTCAACGTACGGTTGTATAGTCAGTATAGTCCATGAAGTGGTGCTAAAAAACGATGTACTTACCAAATAATGTTTGTACGATAAGGTACAACCACAGTTAAGAAGTTAAGAAAAATAAAAAATAAAAATTATTATACAACCACGGTTATAATATGTGGTAACTACGCGGTACTGGAATATCGGCAAGAGGTTGTCTGCAAATAATCGATTAATCGATATTCGATTAAATTGATTAACCGATATTCCGATTAATTATTAGATCAATTTATGGGCTCTAATGAAATTAACTAATTGTAAATGTGTGGTATTGAATATGAATAATGCAATTAATAATACAAATTATTATTAATTAAATAGTAATAGTTTAATGGTTAAACTGTTTTTGTAAAACGGAGCTATTATTTAAGGATAGAATTTAAATTTCAAAGATAATTAATAATGTGCCTATATTAATACTAGGGTGGTCCTTATTAATAGAAGTAAGAAAAAATTATTTATATTTTTAATATAGGTCCCCTCACTTTTTTCATTGTTATAAGAAAATAATTTTTGTTAATTTTGGTCGTAACTCACTCCCTTCCCGTGCCCCTGGGGGGTTGAAAAATAGCCAACAAGAGTAGTTTTATCATTTTTTCGAAAAAATTTTCAATAAAAAGTATGAGTATATATAAAAATTATGTGAAATTAAATTTCTTATTAAAAAGGTTATATGTCAAATGTTCATTGGATCCTTCGTTGCATTGTTTGAGTCAAATTTATTAAATATTATACATCAAACTATTATTAAATATTTATATACATTTGAACAATTTTATTTATAAAATTAAAATGGTTTATTCAAACATATTTTAATATTATTGAAGAAAATTATTATTTTGTTGTATTACGAGATAAGATTAGATACAAATTATGAGTGTATGATAGTTTTATCTTATTTTGTCATGTTAATTATTAAATGGGCATGATAAAATAAGTCGACTTTTTTACGTATTTCTCTGTTACTGTGTATTAGTATCCCGACGTTGTTACATTGTTTAATATTTTAACAGCTCTAATTTTGTTCTATATATTTAATAGTTTAATACTTATTTCTATTTATTGTTCTCTATAAGTTCTTTTTAAGATTAATAATGACTGCTAGGATATAACGTGATAAAATATATTTAGTCGACCATTATACTAATGAAATAACTGGAAGCAAATTACCGTCCAATATTTAAGTATCAAGAACATTATTTTTCAATCTATGCATTGTAAAACTTAATGTAAGAGAGAGTGCAAAGCTTGTAATAAAAAAAGTGTTGATATTTTGGGAGGAAGCACGAATACCCACTAAAACGGATAAAATTTGTATTATTAAATTAGAAATGTTATATAATGAATGGAGAGAATTACAAAAACATGCAGGAAGAACAATGGCGAGCCACAAAATAAAAGAACAAACTTTTATTTTTAATTTACATATCTTCGATATAGCACACACAGATGCACTAAATATTTTAAAAATAGAAGAAGATAAACAGTTTTTAATAAATCAGCGAAAAGTTGGACGGCCGGGTTTTATGTATTACGGGTGGTATGGAGTTGATTATGAAATGCAACGGAAAGAAGCTCGAATTAAAAAACGGAGAGAGGCAGAACTTATAAGACAACATAAACATTTGAAGACAGATATATTCAATTATTATCAATAAAATAATATATTTTTTTTCGTCTTATCAATTTGTTATTTTAATTTAAAAAAGAGGAAGAAAAGCGGAGGTATTAGAATTATCTTCTAGTAGTGCCGACGTAAATTATTAAAACTACTTACTGTACATTCTGTATAAATAGAAATTTTTCATATAAAGCTTTAAAAAAAAAATAAATACTTCTTGATTAGATATCGATATGCAAAGTCATAATTATCGATAGAGTGAGTGCAACACTCACCTAATAGTATCGACAAGTCGCGTCTAGGAAACCGTACCTTTAGACTTGTAAAATATGTAAAATATTTATAATTAAGAAAAATTTTAAAAACTTTTTTGTAAACGATTAAAATATAAAGAATTTGGTGCTGGTTTGAATATTCTATGTTTATTATAATATAAATTAAAATTAAAAGACAGCGAGGTAGTGGGCGGTTACGGCTTGCCGCAACGGCGGCGATACGACGCCCAAACACTGTTGTGTATACCTTACGTTTCACTTTCGGTGAGCTTGTATTCTAAATTATAATCTATGTTACAACTTAAATAGTCATCGATGTGTAAAACGCATTACTCTATGGTGAAACGATCAAACTGCAACCGTCTTAAGAATATTACGCATTTACGCTTTTTCGTCGACTTGTCAGTCGTACGTCGTACAATATTTTACCATAAAAAACAATATTATTCTTATTGTTTTTAATAAATTTGAGGTAGGTAATTAAAACTTTCTGGCCTCAAAATTACTTATTAAGAAAATATGAAAGGTACCTTTTATATTTTATTATATTCAAATTAATTTCTTCTTTATACTTTCTATTGTATATTTGGTTATAATATAATCTAGTTTAGTTGTTTTGCGGAAATCAATAATTTTAAAGCTATTCCCTTACAAGATGGATATACCACGATGTTTCTATAGAATTTATTTATGCCACTTACAACTTTCAATGTTGCTTTTCCCTGCTCGAAGACCGCGAATAGCAGTCTAACTTCTAATGAAATGAAACGTACTGTTGTGCCTGTACGGGTTGTTTTATTTGTTCGGTAGTGTGAGGATCCAATTTTTGGGAGAAAGTACAACAAAACAGTTCTAAGGTTTTTTGGTTACTAATATAATTTTAATGCGAGTCGAATTATATAATTAGTGTAACACATTATTATAGTCGTTGAGACGACGTACAGTTTAAAAGCTGGTAGCTTGACTGACTGCGTGGCTCTCTTGCGGGTGCCGTATGGCTACAATATTCTAAGCCTAAACACTAGGGTGTACTCTGAGTTACTCCACACTCAATTTATAAGTGTCATCACTGGGTGGCTGCTTTTATCAAGCTATTCATGTTATTATGCTATTCATTTTATTATATTTTAGCTAATACTCTTGTTGTACCAACGAGGTACAGATTGTGTATTTAATAATAAAGGAAAAAAAAAAAGTATTCAAATCCAAACCAGAAAACGGTATTCCGATAGTATTAATAATATTAATATACATGTATTTCTAAAATATTATAAATACTTTCAACAAACTATTTGGAATATTTTAAAAAAACTATTGTTTTGAAGTATTCGAATACATTTTCTGAATAATATTTTTGTATTTATTCCTAGTATTTTTAAAAAGTATTTTACAGCTGTTAAAGATTTGTTTGAATAATTTTACGTTGCCGGTATTTTTTTTTAGTTTATAACACTAGTAGGACAATTGTCGGCGAAGAATATAATTTGTTACAAATTAACAACGCGTATATTAAAATGTACAAGCGTATAGGAATGTATTGTAGTCGTATTTTCGAACCCGAATCATGTTTAAGTAGTAAGCATTATCTATATACATATAGGAGACGGCCCCTATTCACTCAACGCCCAGACCAAACCGCTGGGTCTAGAGACTTGACATTTTGTACAGAGGTTCCTTAAGCAATGTAAGGGCGCACTAAGAAAGGATTTTTCAAAATTCGAACTCTAAGGGGGTAAAAGGGGGTTTTTTTTAAAGTTTGTATACATTTTATATAGCTAGTACTTCCTTCATCATTTACGGGCGGACCTAGGTATATGCATGAACGAACTCAAGAAGCCATGACATATGTCCGCGTACATGGTCGCCCTGATCTATTCTTCACATTTACATGTAACCCTACTTGGAAAGACATCATAGATGCACTGTTTTCTGGACAAAAGCCGCACGATCGTCATGACATTATAGCGAGAGTATTTCATATTAAAGTAAAGAAATTAATGGCACTCTTGACTAAAGGAAAATTATTTGGTGACGCACGGTGCTATAAGTATTCTGTGGAGTGGCAAAAGCGAGGATTGCCTCACGTTCACATCTTACTGTGGCTACAGAATCGAATTTCATCAAACATAATTGATAATGTCATCAGTGCCGAAATACCACACCCCGAGCAAGATCCTCTTTTATATAACATCGTCAAAAGTAACATGATTCATGGTCCCTGCGGCAGCTTAAACCCTAATGTTCCTTGCATGAAAGAAAATACATGCAGTAAAAGATACCCTAAAAAACTTTGCCGAGAAACACAGACAGGAGACGATGGATACCCAGACTACAAGAGGAGGTCTACAAATGACGGTGGTTTCACTGTAAGAATTAAGGGACTTGATTTAAACAACCATTGGGTTGTGCCTTACAACCCAGTCTTATTACGTACTTTCAATTGTCACATCAATGTAGAGATGTGTCATTCTGTTAAGTGTATTAAGTACATCTGTAAGTATGTAAACAAGGGCAGTGACCAAGCAGCGTTTACAATAAAAAACCAGAAGGATGAGATTACAATGTACGAAAGTGGTAGGTATATCAGCAGTGCCGAAGCAGTATGGAGAATATTATCATTTTCCGTTCATGAACGATATCCTACGGTTTTTCATCTAGCCGTCCACCTTGAGAATGGTCAGCGAGTATACTTCACCCCTAATAACTTGGCAGAGAAGCTCAATAATCCTACTAAGACTACGCTTTTAGCATTTTTTGAGTTATGCAAAACTGACGTTTTCGCAAAAACCCTCCTTTATTCGGAAGTGCCTTCTTACTTTGTATTTAAGAATAATAAGTTTCAAAGAAGGAAGCAGGGAAGGAATGTAGATGGCTGGCCGACCGTAAAGAAGGACGATGCTTTCGGAAGAGTGTATACTATCCATCCACACAATACTGAATGCTACTATCTTCGTATGCTTCTTCATGAAATTAGAGGACCAACATCTTTTTCAGACCTAAAGACTGTTAATGGTATCCTCCATAATACATTCCAATCTGCCGGTACTGTGTTAGGTTTGCTTGAAGATGATAATCACTGGAACAATACGTTAAATGAAGCTTCT